CACACACACACACACACACACACACACACACACACACACACACACGCACACAGACACAGACACACGCACAGACACACACAGAAACACATCGCTTAAAACACATTCAATACATAAAACACATTTGGGAGAATCTCACAAAACCTGTCCATAACATGTCATTTCACACACACAAAAAAAATAGAAGAAAAAAATTTGAAATTACAGTTTGCTTTAATTATATTTATAATTACGGCATATCTATTTACACTAACTCCGCCCACCAACCTGGGATTGAGGTAGTCCACACTAAAAAACACACTCATAAAACATCAGTTCAATTGATATTTTATATTTAGCTTATTATTTGATATTCATACTTGTTCTGGCTCTGCTCAGATGTGGACGAGTGTGTGACGGGGCAGGCCTCGTGTCCGAGGTTTCGTAAGTGTGTGAACACATTTGGCAGCTACGTCTGCAGATGCCATGAAGGCTTCGAGCTGCGGCACATCAACGGAAAGTACCACTGCACAGGTGTGACTACAGACAAACACCCATACAGACATTATTGAGCACATTTGTGTTTACAATGATGTATTGAATTGTTTATATATCATTTATATTTAGATTAAATTCAATTATATTATTAAATAATTACAATATGTAAGTATATAAATATATAAGTATTATATAAAAGATTATAAAAAATATAATACATATATCCATACATATTTAGACTAAAAAATGCATTTGACATTTTGCATTAATTATATTTTTTATTTGATTTAGTGATAATTGTTATTTTATTTGTTATTTTTAATTAATACAATATCAATTTATTAATTTAAATAAATAAATAATATGCGATTATTTTTATGTAATCATATAGTAATAATAATGCTATTAAATATTATGTATATAATTATTTGTAGATTACATTTAATATAATTCATATAAATATAAAAAATAATTACTCAAATGATATTTTAATTATATCTATGTATTAATGACCATTATATAGAGACTTTTTTACATTGCCGAGTTACTTTTTACATTATGCTGCACATTCTAAACATTTGTGTTTTCCAGATAAAAAGTTTTCCTCTCTTTGCTATGACAAGCCCGGACACAAGAAATGCAAATGCACACCGAGTGTTAAAGGAAAGGGTTACGACTGTAAATGTAAGTGTGTGTGCGATTTATGCCATCGATGGACAGTGTTTTCTGTGTGTTTACGTGATGCTGTGTGTGTTTCAGCTGTTCTTAAAGTCACCATTGAGCCGGCAAGACCAGTCGAAGTCGCAGTCAGCCCGACGACCGTCTCCACGGCAACAACTCCCATGACAACCAACAGAAAAACTACAACTACAGCCACTCCTACTACTACCGTTACCATAGCAACTTCTGTTCCGACAAGCACTGCCATGACGACAGTGACACAGATTACTGTTGCTATAGCAACAACAACAACAACTACTACAGCCGTCACAACTGTTGCTATGACCACAAGTCCAACTACAACGTTGACATCATCGGCACTGACAACTACAGACACGCCTCCAACGACAACCTCCATCAAAACAACAACAACAACAACAACAGCAAGCACACAGATGAGCTCAACTACAACACTAGACAACCGCATTCACAGAGAGAACACCGCCAAACCACGAGGAGACGTACACAGTGAGATCTATTCATGTCTCTTCTGCTCAGCAGGGCTGCATTTGTTTGATTAAAAATTACAGTGAAAATTCTGAAATATTTTTACAATTTAGAATAGCTGTTTTCTGTGTGAATATCTGTTAAACTCTAATTTATTTCTGTGATGAGCAGCTGTATTTTCAGCATCATTACTCCAGTTTTCAGTGTCACATGATCTTCAGAAATCACTATAATATGCTGATTATTAGAAATATTCCTGACGTGCTGCACAATATTTTTGTGGAAACTGATACATTGTATTTCTCAGGATTCACAGATGAACAGAAAGTTCAAAAGAACAGCATTTATTTGAAATAGAACTCTTTTGTAACATTATAAATGCCACTTTTGATCAATTTGATGCATACATGTTGATTAAAAGTATAAAGTATTAATTATTAAGTATTAAAACCAAATAGTCATTGTAGCTTAACAGATTTAAAATGTAAAAAGTAAAATACAACTAGGCATGTTTTCTACATTTACATTTATGGACTAATATAACAACACATTTTAAAAATGAAACATGAAAAAATGACATTTTTCACAAAAACTAATAATTGAATCAAAGTCAGTGTTATTTTAGCTATTATTCATATTTTTCATTCGTTTTTATTTTTATATTTTCCATTTCAAGTTTAAAAGTTTTACTAATTGTATTGGCTTTTTGTCATTTGTTTTAGTTTTATGTATTTATTTAATATATATACGTTTAGTTATTTTTGTACATCAATTTAAACAAAATTAAAACTAAAAACGTTGCCGTGGCAACTAACTGATTATAATTATATAATTATAAAAATGATAAAATTATAAATTATAATTATAAAAAGGGCTATATATATATATATATATATAAAAGCCTGATCAGAGTCATGATCTATATATACAGTGCATCTTATGCGTCTTATATTTAATAACAAAATTATATATATATATATATATATATATGTATATACAGTGTCCTCCATAAGTGAACAGTGAAGACGAAACTGCTCTGTTTGCTGTGGAGTCAAGACATCTGCAAATATGATCAAAAGATGAATATGAGACAAAATTACAGAATGCCACATTTTATTATTAGCTGTTTCAACACATTTATGTTTTACTAAATAAAAAGGACAGCACTTTTAGAGTCTGATGTGAGCATAAGTATTGGCACAGTTGAACTTAAGGCAGAAGTAAAAGATTAAAGGCTATTATTTAGGTGCAGATCTCTTGCATGCAATCACAGCAGTGAGTCTGCGACCCATAGACATCACTCGGTCTCATTCTTTGAAATGCTTTTCACAGCCTTTAATGCAGCCAATTCCAACTGTTGCTTGTTTTGGGGAGTTTCTGCCTTTAGTCTACTCTTCAGCCGGTGAAATTCATGTTCAATCGGATTTTAATCTGGAGATTGACTTTGCATTTCTTTGCCCTGATAAACTCCTCGACTGAACTGGTAGAGTCTGGTGGCATTTTCTTGAATATTGGTAGCCAAGATGGTTTTGTACCCTTCTAAATTCATTCTGCTGCTGTCATCTTACATTAAATCATCATTAAAACTGAGAAGGCCTGTTCCAGAGACAGCCATGCATGCCCATGCCATGACACCACCTCCTCCATGCTTTACAGATGAGGCTGTATATGCTCAGGATCATCTGCATTTCCCATCACTTAGATAAAGGATAATCTTTGTTTTACCCGTTTATAAAACTCAGTTCCAAAACTCTACTGGCTTTTACAAACTCTAATCTTGCCTTTCTAGTTTTGGTGCTGGTCAGAGGTTTGCATCTTGCTGTAGCATCTGTAATTCTGTGTCCAAGTCTCCTGCGGACAGTAGCTTGTCCCGAGCATCACCCCAGCTTTCTGGAGGTTGTTGGTGATTTTACAGACACGTATTTTAGGGTTCATTTTCACAGCTTTTATGATTTGTCTGTCATCAACTGCTGTTGTTTTTCTCAGATGATCAGGTCGTCGTTGGCTGCTGATGTCTCCGGTGGTCTCCAAACTCTTGATTTGACTTTGTTTTTGCTATAGCTCGAATTCTTTTAGCATCCAAATTGCTGGCTTTTCTCTCAAAGTCAGCTCCCTCGTCTTCATCCTGGTTTGTGTGTGTCTTCATCGAATGCAAGACTCAGAATGCAGAAGCAATGGATATAACAGATACGACACATTCCCTGCTTTTAATATCTGAAGAATTAATGTAACAGGACACAGCTGATCACTTAGAGAGACCTGTGAGGCAACTGTGCCGATACTTGTGCTCACATCAGATGAACTCTAAAAGTGCTGATCTTCTTCGCTGGTAAAACATCTATATGTTGACTCCACAGCAAACAGAGCAATTTTGTCTTTACTGTCCCAATACTTACGGAGGGAACAGTGTGTATATATTTGTTTTAGTTTACTATAAAAAGCCTGATGAAAGTTATGAAGCAATTCATTAAAATGATTCAACAGATACACCGTTAATGCATTAAACTCTAAGGCCTAAATTTCATCTACTGAAGTGTTTAAAGAATCATGAAAATGGACTTCTAAAATTGTGGCTATTTGACATTATTTCCATACAGTCAGTTATTTAACTATATACAGTAATTGGGTGTCTGTTCATTCATCAGATTAGCTCTGATTGGTCAGTTTGTCTCTTTTAGTTCCACGTTTTGAGAACAACCTGTTTGACTTCGACGTTGAGCTGGGAAACACAGAGGAGCTTGCACAAGACGATCCAGGTACAGATCAGCCTTTAAACGCAAAACAGACGAAACGAGACGACGAGGACCTTCCTGACTAAATTTGGTAATGGGAGAGTAAAAATATTTTTAAAACGTACACCGTTCAAACTAGGCTGCTTATGTTGAAGTGTTTGGGATGTGGCTTTTAATGATGAGACCTTTTTTGTAATCAGGCTCTCAAAAAGTATATAACAATTTGGATATAGATTTATCGGCCAACATATCGGTTATCGGCTTTCAAAAATAAAGAATAATCGGTTATCGGTATCGGCCAAAATTTTCATATCGGTGCATCCCTAAAAACAGTGAAATAATCTGAATGTTTCTTTTTGCGATTATTTCACGGTTAAGTGATGCATTATGCAGGATCACAAAAAATGCAGCATTTTGTTGGTTTTGCGTATGTTCTGTGATCTGAAATGTGAAAAACTGGAGGGACTGACTTCTGATTATGTGGTTTATTGCATCAAAACCAAAGCTCTGTAACTAGCATTCACAGTCCAGACTGATATCTGTATCCATCCTGCTGTTTGTGATTACTGAGCATGTGCGTGTTGATTCTAGTGTGATTGATGCTGTTCTGTATCAGATTGTGCTGAAGGCAGAGAGACGGCGAGGGAAACATGGAGAAATCGCTGTGGATGATTTTATTCTGAGACGAGGCGCTTGCAGTGATGAACACCACAGGACAGAGTGACACACACACACACACACTGGACAGAGTGACACACACACACACACACTGGACAGAGTGACACACACACACACACAATGGGCAGGTCAACATTCATATTCATGAGGACGTCTTTATTTACCTTTTTTATGACCATGAATCTGCAGATTTGTGCAGAATTGGACCAAATTTCCTTGCATATTTATTAAATGTTATTATTGGTTATTCTGCTTTCGGATAACAGTGTTGGTACTATCAGCTACGTTTAATGCATGAAATTTGACAGATTTCCTCACAAAACCAGCTCAGAATGTGAAGCACATGTGATACCTGATCAGTATCTTCATCCACAAACACGAATACTCTGATTTTATTGTGTTATAGACGCCTTACAGGCTGAGTCTCGCGTGAAAATATGTCCGGGTCACATTTCAGAGTTTGCAGTTTTTTGTATTGTGATAATGTTATGATTATAGCATGATTTCTGTTCATATTCTTATTTAATAAATGCATCCAGACTTTTAAGTTACGTTTTTCAGTATTTCCATTAATGATAATTCTTATTTAAAAATGACAATAATATTGTGATTTTTTTTTAAAATCAGCATAAATTAAAGGCAGCACAAATGCTTTCTGTTCAATTATAACAATAATATTTTTCACATTTAAGGGTGGGACTTGTGCTTAGTTGTCATTAAAATAATGCAACAAAATAACACACAAATTCTTTCATTTTAAGGAATGTTCCAAAAGACTGTTCAATTAATATTTGAGGTGAAATGTGAGCTGGATTATGTGAGATTCACTCACAACAATATTTAGTTCGACGCACATTAATGTCTTTATATTTTTATACATCATTCAGTCATAATTAGTGTTCAGTTCTTTCTATCCCTTACTGCACTCATGAAATGTTTCTTTGTAAATATGTTCAGTTTGTTGTACCAGATTGTATCCGAATGTGTATTTAAAGCTCTAAATGCTTCATAAACTCAAATCAAAACCTCTGTTGTTGATCATTGTGATTGATCTGGTTGCAGCAGATTTAATGAATATTTAATTTTCCAAGGTGGTTATACATTTAGGTTATGAAAACATTGTGGGAACATTGTTTTGAAAATGTTTCTAAAACGTTGAACGGTCCAGTTTTCTTGTCATGATGATAATGTTATTTAAAGGTCAAATTGCAACAGGGTTGCCAGGTGCTCACAACAAAACCCGGCCAATTGCTACTCAAAACTAACCCAATCACGTTTTGAGGTGGGTCCCCCGGGTTCTGGGGGATAAAATAGACGTTTTTTGGAGGGGTTCCCCTGGTAAGACTTGTATTTTAGGTGCTAAATATCACGTTATTGGCGGCACTTCAACCCACGACATGAAAAACAACCCAGTGGCAACAGAAAAAAAGCAGACTTGGCAACACTGGATTGCAAAATTTATGGCTCATGTAAACTTTAATATGAACTTTCAGGATTCGTTCGAAATTGACGAAAATTAGTGCATGTTAAATACCTAGTGTGCAGTGTTGCCAAGTCCACGGTTTTCCCATAGAATTGGGCTACTTTAAAGGAACACTCCACTATTTTTGAAAATAGACTCATTTTCCAACTCTCCTAGAGTTAAACAGTTGAGTTTTACCGTTTTCGAATCCATTCAGCCGATCTCCGGGTCTGGTGGTAGCACTTTTAGCTTAGCTTAGCATAGATCATTGAATCTGATTAGACCGTTAGCATCTCGCTCAAAAATGACCAAAGAGTTTCTATATGTTTCCTATTTAAAACTTGACTCTTCTGTGAAAGAAGATGATTGAAATTCATGTTTGTGAAATGAAAATGAAAAGTTGTGATTTTCTAGGTGGAACTATACTCTCATTCCGGCGTAATAACCATGCTGCACCCATGATACGGCAGCAAAGTTCCTTGATTATTACGCCGGAATGAGAGTATAGTTCCTAGTCATATCGACCTAGAAAATGTCAACTTTACGTCAGTCTTAGTACACGATGTAACTACAGAAGAGTCAAGTTTTAAATAGGAAAGATATAGAAACTCTTTGGTCATTTTTGAGCGAGATGCTAACGGTCTAATCAGATTCAATGATCTATGCTAAGCTACAGCTAAAAGTGCTACCGCTAACGGTAAAACTCAACTTCTTGTCACATGACCTGCGGTGCGCTTGCGGCATTCTGAAAAGTTGAGATGTTTTTATCTCGCTGTGGTGCGGACGCGTCTGGAAAAAAACTCTATTTGCACACGTCTACATTTTGAAATAATGAACTTGAGTACGCAAAAGACGCGATATGTGAACGGCCCCTAACAGTGTTGCCGCGGGTTGTTTTTCATGTTTGAAGGTTGAAGCGACTCCAATAACATGATATTTATCCCCTAAAATGGGGAACCCTGCCAAAAAACATTTATTTTATCCCCCAGAATGCAATTTTTATCAAGGGACCCCCCTTGAAATGCAATTGGGCTAGTTTTGGGCTAGTTTTGAGTAACAATTATGTTGTGGTAGCAATTTTGTTGTTTTTGTTGGGCAGATTTTGTTGTGAAAACCTGGCAACCCTGCAAATGTGGTCGGCGCCAATAGACTCTTGGCAGTGCGCCGATATATTGCGGCTTTGCGCCTCGGGCGTCCCGAGTTCGAGTCCCGGCTCATGGACCTTTCCCGTCATTTCCAAATAAAGGCTAAATACGCCAAAAAACTGACAGTATACATTGGATTTGATTGAGAGTTTTGCAGTCACGTGTCTCCAGATTTTATCTCTCCACTCTGTTTGCGGGATCTGAAACAGATGTTCTCCACAAATCTTCTGACATGTAAACTCCTCCCAAAGCACAATGAGTTTAGTGTGTGTGTGTGTGTGTGGAGTGTGAGTGTGTGTGTGTGTGTGTGTGTGT